AAAAAAAAAAAAAAAAAAGCCAAATTTGACTTCAAACCAGTGCTCTTATGAACGACTGCGCCACATTCCAACACACTGTCAACTGCTCAAGAGCAGGGACCACCAATCAGCCTCTTCTCTGTATTTCCCAAAGTGCCAAAGTGCCTGGCACAGAGTCAGCCCCCACACCTAGAGTGCAGAATTTTTTAAATTCTGCAATTTTTTGAAAGCTGCAATCCTTGGATGGTATCTTGCATGCATCTACAGGGGGGAAGACACAAGCCAGGTTCAGGCAAGAGGTGGGGGGCTAGAGGGGTCTGGCTGACTCACTGCCCATCTTAGAGGAACAGGATCTGGTGCCTACTCAGTTCTAGCCCCAGAGTGCCAGGAACAACCCTGGGTACAGAGAGGAGGTGGTGGGCGCAAGGGCAGCAAGGAGGCCTGCCACTCACCCCAGCATTACAACCTGCGTGTCTGGCTCCACGGCCTTGAAAAGGCAGCATAGCAACTCTGTTTGCGCTGGACCTGAACAGGGTAGAGCAGAGGGGTGAAGCTGAGGGGAAATGGCAGGACAGAGTGTGACTAAGAAGCCACAGGTACATTTACCCACTGAATACCCTCCTCCTACCAGGGCAACCCTGGAAACAGAGCGGACAGAGTGACCAGTCCTGGGGCTAGCTCCAGAATCACCTGTGCCTGGGGCCTGGAGCACAGGGCCAACGAGGGCTCTGCAGACGGGGTAGGTATACTTGGCACAGAAGGTGGTCAAGGCAGTGGTGAGCAAGCGGGAGGCGGAGGTGGTTAGGGAGAGGATCTAGTCAAGGGGGAGACAAAAAAAGCAGTTCATTAATTTCTTTTTTCTTCAGTAGATGTGTTTCAGATACACACTTCAGATGGCCGTGTTACAAAGAAGGGGAAAAAAAGTTCTTTTATTTGGGACTCATATAGACAGTCCATAACTCCCCTCCCCAGCTCCCAAATCCCTGAAAACCCATTCTGGAAGGGTTTGGGGGCCCAATGGGGAGAAGTTAGATGCCATGTGGGGAGATGCCCCAGAGTCCCTGCCTTTCCAGTTGAGAGGGTGGGCATCCTTTCCTTGTCTGAGGCTGCCCAGAAACCCCTTCTGATTCTGAGCTCAGCCTCTGCCCCACCATCCCCAGTGTGCCCAGTGTCTCCTGATGTACCTACCCGTCCAAGAAAGAGGCTCTTGGTCAGCACGGTAGCAGTGCTGAAGCTGAGGTCTGGTGAAATGGCCAGCAGCCAGGAGCAGAGCTGCAGGAGACCTGTGTCTGAGAGCTGGGGCAGCTGCAACTGGGCACACAGCAGGTCCACCTGCCGGTAAGGGGCATGGATAGGGAAGGATGGAGAGAGGATACTGGGACACTTCATCTCCATCTCTAGCCTGTCTCTAGACAGCTGGGCAATAGAAGGAGCAGGGCAAGGGCAGCTGGGTAAGGTAAGGTAAGGCTGAAAGGGGCACCAAGGAACTAAGGAAAGAAAATCCCTTCCCCAAATTCCCATAGGAGGTTAGAAAACAAAAACTTAAATGGAAAAGGGTTAGTGGGGATGATGTGACCTCAGGCCCATGCAGGCTGGACTCACCTGGCAGGGACTGCATTCATGGAGAAGCTGCAGTTCATCTGGTGGGGTGTCTTCCAATCCCTGGGGAGACTAATGCAATGTCAAGGCCATTTGAGTTCTTTACTGGCAAAGGAGGTAGCTCCGATCCCCAAAGGTGTACGGCGCCTGGTGTACAGTGGTATATCTGTACTTGGGTCAAAAAGCTCCTGCAGCAACTATCCTCAGACCCTCCCCACTCCCGGCCCCTCCCACCAGTCTGGACCTCACAGCACTGGGGCCTCCCTGAGCATGGCGCAGGCCCCAAGCAGAGGTGGAGGAAGGGCTATGGTAAGCAGGGTAGTCACCTCTTCAGAGGTCTTCAGCAGCTGCTGCAGCCTAGAAAGCAGGTCCTGTCAAGGAAAGTCCAGTCACTGCCAAGACTCTATTCCCGCAGCAGGACCCCAAGTCCAAGCCCTCTGAGAAGACCCCACTCCAGTGGGAAAAATGATTCAAGAGAACCATGAACATGAAGTCTATAAAAGTATGATAGAAAGTATTAGGAACCCCCGACTGAATGGTTTTCATCTTGTCTAGATGGGTCTGGTGAAAGCAGATGGGGATAAGATTCGTATGATTCAATAGTAATTGTTACCATGACTAATTGCAACTGTCACAACTGTAATGGTAGAAGTTTTGTAAAAAGAGGGGACTAGTTAATCTTACAGTCCAGGAACAGAGGACCCTAGGACCATCAAGGGAGAAGAGTACGAGCAGACTGTGGGACTCTATCCAGAGAAGATTATAATCATTGCAATGAAACGATAAGCGTAAAACCGATGTTCTCCCATGTAACCATGTAAACTATCACTCAATTCACAATAAAAACTTGGGGGAAAAAATTAAAAATCAGAGTGTTCTCCCGTGGGGGAGGCAGTTCTTGGAGATTCCAAAAATATATACATATACTAGGAAGGAACCCACATTAGAAAAGGCCTGTGTGTGAAATCCAACGGTCTGGACTTGTCTTTTCTGCATCTAATAACTCTACTGAGGTAGACTCAGGCCTCGGACTAGATGCTGACATGACTCCCACGACCAGAATAGTTCGAGGATCTCTCCTCTTACCTGATATCCTTAACCCCACCATACAGGTCATTGTTGTTAAGTGCCGTTGAGTCAGTTCCAACCCATAGCAACCCTATATAGGGTTTCCAAGGAGCAGCTGGTGAGCATGAACCACCAAATTTGCAGTTCAAACAGCTTTGCAATCCGGCGCATTAACCAACAGCTCCACGTGTTTTTCCACTTCTAATTACTTCTTTCCCTAATCCCTCCTTGGAATCTGTGGAGACTAGATTCTCTCAACCTCCCTTATCCTTCTAACTCCTTGGACCATCGTCATCTCAACTGGGAAACAGTGGTCCAGCCGGCTTTCAACCAAACCCTCATTCCTGAAAGCTCACTCTAAATTCAGTCTCCCCATTCCAGTACCTGGACAGCTTTGGGCAACTCCAAATTCTGAACTAGGTCCTTGGCATCCTCCAGACTCGTCTCAGTCTCCATAATAGACTGGTTCCTAATGGGTGATACACCTCCTCCATCTGCCAAGGAGTCCAATGATTCATCTTCAGACTTCTTCTCTGCAGGATCTTCCTCTTCTTTTTCCAAACACCGAAACCTTTTCGGGAATCTCTCCCCCTCAGGGCTGGTAGGTTCTTCTTCTGGGTCTTTTTTACGTTTTCCAAGCTGCTGAGAGTCTTTATCTTCCTCCTCCTTCTGTTCTTCCTCTTTGGGGTCTGGAGTCTGAAGCAACTTCAACCCCCTGCCCCCTTGGCCCAACTGCATACACAGGTTTCGAAGCTGACTCTGGCATCTTTTGGAGAGTGGGGATGCTCCCTCAATGGACACCTCAACTCCCAGATCCCTTTGCAGCAATTCTGCTAGGGCTCGTAGCCAGGGGTCAGGGTCAGAGTCCTGTTGGACAATCTGAAGCACAGAGAGGAGCTTGCTTTGCGGCAGTGATGGCCGGACAGCCATCAGCAGGGACATGAGGTTCCTGCGACATAAGAGGGGCAATTGTAGCAGCAGTGGCTTCCTGGGTAGCAGAGGAGAACAAGTAGTTAGTGTTGTGCTAGGGAAACCAGACAGCAAACTGGGGAAAGCTGTGGGATGAATGCTAGTGGACATACAGGATGGGAGGCAGCACTACTGCAAGAGTCCGTGTGGACAGACAGGCAGACATGGGAGTCATTCAAGTGTTCATTGTCCCTTCACCCAATTCACAATACAAAGTTGGCTTTTTATAAATGGTCATCGAATATCGCTCAAAAAGTCATTTTGGAACCTAATCTGTAATAGATGCATGCCTGTTTAAAAAAAAAAAAAAAAAAAAGCTGTATTTTTGTATATTTCCTTACATACATATTTTAGCCCCTGTGTACAAAGTGTACATAAATGAAGCCTATGTTAGACACAAGGAGCTCTGGTAATGTAATGGTTACGAATCTGGTTGTGAATCTCCAAACATCAGTTCGAAACTACCAGCTGTTCCTCGGGGAAAAAGATGCGGCTATCTGCTCTCGCAAAGATTTGCAGCCTCGGAAACCCTGTACAGAGTCACTATGAGTCGGAACTGACTTCGCGGCACATCTCCAGCACCAGGTTAGAGGCATGTATCCAATTATTTTTAAAGAGATGGAACTGACTCCACTGACCTACACTTTTTCACACCCAAAACAAGACTTATTTTAAGTCTTTGCATCCTGGGGTCGGGCCCTGCCTGGAACATAGATGCGCGGCAGGGTCCCAGGGCCAGAGGTACCCTAGGCGCTCTTGCTGAGGGGAATCGCTTAACCTCTCTGGGCCTCCATTTTCTCAGCTATAAAAGGGGGTGGCCACAGGGGCGAAGGGCCGCGGAGGACGACTCACAGCTTCAGGGGGCAGTCCAGCCCATCCACAACAAGCTCCTCCCGGCACAGCCCCTCCAGGAAGCGGCCCCAGCAGAAGGGCTCCCCGCCGCGGTGGGCCAGCGTACGCAGCACCCTGAGGCCACTCCGCGTCCCCTCGGGCCCCGCCTGCAACGCCTGGAGCAGGAGGCGAGCAGGGGAGTCCAGCTGCACCCAGGGAGCCGGACAAGCGTCCTCAGACCCAGGGGTCGCCATGCCCGGAGCACCGGTGCCGTGCTCAGGTTTAGGGCCTCAGTTCCGAGACTGAGGAAAGACAGGACTGAAGCGCTGGTTCTGACACGAAGAGGCAGCTCTCCTCCAGATCCTGCCGCAATACGCAGAAGTTGGTAGCAGCACCGTTGGTTGACTCAACGCCCTAGAGCCCGAGAGTGCGCGCGCGGCCGGAAATAGACTGAGAAAGTGTGGGCGGAGACGGGGCTCAGCTAGCAGACAGGAAGGGGCGGGTCCAGTAATGGACAAGTCACCTCTGGTAGGAGGATGGACTAGGGGCGAGGCGGAGCCTGTGTGTCCCAGCAATAGAGCAGACTCAGAAACGGGCATTGGTATTGGTATTTATATGCCGTGGAGTCCCTTCCTACTGACAATGACCCTGTACAGGGCTTCCGAGGCTGTTAATCTTTATAGAAACAGAGACCCTCAACCTTCTCCCGCGGAACAGCTGGTAGTTTTGAACTGCTGTCCCTGAGGTTAACAGCCCGATTCGTAAATATTGCCAGCCAGAAGTTTGTTTGTGGGCGGGGCCAGGTCGCCAGGGTGGAGTGAAGCCTCGGCTTCTAACCCTCAACTACTTCCTTCCTCCCCATCTCCATTAAATAGAGGTTTTTCAGGGTCTTAGTGACATTATTCCTCTTAGATCAACCATCAACACTCTTGGAAACAGCAGTCAAGAAATCAAACGACGACGAGTTGCATTAGGCAAATCTGCACAAGACATTTTTAAAGTTTTGAAGAGCAAAGATGTCCGCTTGAGGTCTAAGATGCGTGCGCCTGACCCAAGCCATGGTATTTTGAATAACCTCATATGTATGTGAAAGCTGGACAGTGAATAAGAAATAATGTAGAAGAGTTGATGCATTTGAGTTATGGTGTTGAAGGAGAATATTGAAAGTGCCATGGGCTGCCAAAAGAACCAACAGATCTGTATTGGAAGAAGTGCGGCCAGAGTGCTTCTTGGAAGCCAGGATGGCAAACCTTGTCTCTCATACTTTGGACATGTTGTGAAGAGGGACCAGTCGCTGGAGAAGGACTTCATGTTTGATAAGGTAGAGGGTCAGAGAAAAAGAGGAAGACTCCCAACGAGATGGATTGGCAATATGGCAGCATCAATGGGCTCAAGCGTGGCAACAATTGTGAGGTTGGCCCCGGATAGGGCAGTGTTTCTTTCTTTTGTGCATACGGATGCTATGAGTTGGTAACGACTGGACTCTATGGCACCTAACAACAACAACAAGAAGCAACATTACCTTTTAACTGATGCCCACGTTGATTGTAGATAGCGAACTTCGTGATAGGATGTGAAGACTGTTTACCACCCAACCCTAACTTCACCTCTTCCAAAAGAGGACAGCATGTAGATTTCAGTCCTTTCCAGAAGGATGTGTTTGATGTGCACATATACCTGAGAATGGGGTCGCAATAAAATTTAATGCCATTGTTTTGGCCAAAGACTTTTTTGTTAACTTCCAAAGCCTAAGAAACCTCATCCTAGTTGTTTATAGGAGCTCAGGACTGCCTCTGCCGTCCTATTTCAGGTTAAGGAAATCTGTTGGACGGAATAGGCTTCCAGCAAAACTAGAAATCACTGTAGGGCATAGGAAAATGGGGAAGGGAGAGAGAAAAGCCATAGAGCGCACCATAAACCCTGCGTTGGGGGCTGGCTTACAACTCCATCCTCCCGGCTGCTGCCACAAGCACATCCACTCGTTCAAAGGTACTGTGGTGTCACTGTGGGTCAGTTTCTGTTCTAGGGTCTGGGGATAGGAAACAAAACAAGGTCCTTGCTTTCATATTGCTGACATTTTATTAAATGTGACATTTCCCACATTAAAGTGGGAAGAGACAGACAACTTGGACTGTGGTAAGTGCCTTCAAGTATAGGAAGGTATAGACACTGTGGAAAACAGTATGTCAGCTCCTCAAAAAACTAAAACTACTGTAGGACCCGCAAGTCCACTCCTAAGTACATATGGAAAGAGCTGCAAGAAGAGAGTCAGACAAACACTTCTACATCACTGTTCATTGCAGCATTAATCTCAATAACCGAAAGGGGAAAACACCCTAAATACCCATCAAAAGATGAACGGATAAACAAAAGGCCGTACATACACATATACAATAGAATACTAATCAGCCAATAAGAAAATGAACTCTTGATAAATGTTAAAATGTGGGTGGAGCTTAAAGATATGCTGAGTAAAATAAGTCCAACAAAAGGACAAATATTGTATGACCTCACTTTTATAGAAAGACGACAGGATTCAACATTAGAAAAACAATTAATGTAATCTACCATATAAGTAAGAAAGAAGAAAAGAGCCACATAATCATATCGATTGATGCAGAAAAGGCATTTGACAAAATCCAACATCCATTCCTGATTTAAAAAATTCAACAAACTAGGAAGTAAAGGGAAATTCCTCAACATAATTAAGAGCATATATACAAAACCAACATAAGGAGCTCTGGTAGCATAGTGGTTACGAATTGGACTGCGAACCGCAAGGTCAGCAGTTCGAAACTACAAGCTGCTTCGCGGGACACAGATGAGGCTTTCTACTCCCATAAAGATTTACAGCCTCGGAAACCCTGTTCAGGGTCACTATGGGTCGGAACCAACTTGACGGCACTTAACAACAACATACAAAACCAACAGCCTACATTACTCTCAATGGAGAGAAACTGAAAGCCTTCCTTCTATGAACAAGATGAACCAGATGAGGATGCCCTTTGTCACCACTTCTATTCAATATTGCGCTGGAAGTCTTAGCAAGAGCTATACGGCAAGACAGGGAAATTAAGGGCATCTAAATTGGCAAAGAGGAAATAAACTCTCTTGATTTGCAGATGATATGAACCTATACATAGAAAATCCCAGAGACTCAGTAAAAAAAGGTACTAGACCTCATTGGAAGATTCTGCAATATGATCAACATACAAAAATCAGTTGGATTCCTCTATAGCAATAACGACAGCGCTGAAAAGGACATTAGGAAAGCAATACCATTTACAATAGCCGCCCAAAGGATGAACTATCTAGGAATAAATGTAAGCAGAGAAACAAAGGAAATTGGCTACCCAAAGTGGGGGGGGCTACAAAGGCAAGAAGTGACTGACTTACAAGCTTTCAAGAGGGAGCCTAGATCCAGAGGGCATGGAAGAAGGTAGAATCTCCACTGAGTAGTATCCAATCTGTCTGGGCGGGGCTGATGAAAAGAGATGTGGATAGGTCTCTTATGATACAATAATGAATAATTGTTATCAGGACTGATTGTGAGGGTTGGAAATGTAAAGGTAGACGTTTTGTAGCAAAAGGAGGGGAGTGATTGACTTTGCAGTCTAGGAACAGAGGTCCCTGGGACCATCAAGGGAGAAGAGTGGAGAGTGGGACCCTACCCAGAGAAACAGTGATGCCAGAGATGGAGGCAGAGACAATGACATGGAGAGATGAAGTGGCTAGGGACTTTTGACCAGAGAGGGAGAGGGTCTGTGTGCTGACGACTGGGGGGCAAGCTTGCAGGATATACCCTTTGGTTGGTTGATGATGCATGGAGGGCATTGTAACCATGGCAATGAAACGATATATGACAGGATGAATGTAAAGCTAATGTTCTCCCATGTAAACTATCACATAATTCACAATAAAACATTAAAAAAAAAAAAAGAGTAAGACAAATAACCCAGTTAAAAAATGGGCACAGGACATGAACAGACACTTCACCAAGGAGGAGATCCGGGCAGCCAACAAACATATGAAGAAATGTTTATGATCACTAGCCATTGTTGTTGTTGTTAGGTGCCATCGAGTCGGTACTGACTCATAGAAACCTTATGCACAGCAGAATGAAACAAGAATGGGAGGAGAATGGGCTTCGCTTGTATAAATAGAAGAGGAATGGAAGCCCAGAGGTATCAGAACAGCTTCAGGTTGTGGAAACAATGGTGTTAGGAAACTCTTATGTCCGTTAAGCACACATATGCAGTGCTATGGCAGAAGACACTAGCACAGATGCAAAGTGCCATTTTGTGAATGGACTGGCTTATTTAATAACTTTACCTTACTGTGAAGTCCTATGAGGCACTGTAGGATAAGCACTAGACTGCTAACTGCGAGGTCAGGGGTTCAAACTCCCCAACCACTCCTCAAAAACCCTATACAGGTATGCTAGGAGGCAGAACCTACTCCCCGACACTTAACCACCTTACTGTGGAGGAAAGATTTTTTTTTTAAATCCTTTGAAGCAGCTTCTTAGGTTTTTCATTGCTGTTTGAGTGTAGAAGCATTCCTTCTTTGATAATGTGAAATTTGTACATTTCAGGTGACATGTGAAATCTTTTGAAAGATTTTTCTTAAAGTTTTACAAAGCTATTAGCCAGGATCATAGCCTAATAAGACAACAGTTTCCTTAAAAAAAAAAAAAAAAATTAAGTGCACATATAGAGTTAAGCTGTTATATATTTATGATTTAATAAAATAATTCTAAAGAAAAAAAGATTGGAAGGAGAAAACGGAATATTTTCTCCATAAACAACTTTCTCCTTTTCCATGAGACTAGAATACCTGGATTGTGGCTGGCTACCATTCATGAACATGTTGGAAAAAAAAAAAAAAAAAGTTCTGTAGAAGAATCATGATCAAAAGGGGAAAATACAGAACAAAATTGAAAACTCTCATGGAATCTAGATTTTTTGGAACCATGTAGGCTAGATGAACACATAAAACTATTGCCCTATGATAATATTTAAACCTTAAACTAAAAACATTCCTGGATGTCTCCTTAAAACAAAAGAAACTTAACTAGTAAAGAATGTCTGCTCTGAGCAGCGTTCTTTTTAAAGATCTATATGAGATCCAAAAGGACCTCTGGTAGTGTAATGGTTTCGAGTCAGGTTGCTAACCTTAAGGTCAGTTAGTTTGAAACTACCAGGGGGTCCGTGGGAAAAAGAGGCTTTTTGCTTCCATAAAGTTTTACAGCCTC